AAAGCCCTGCTGTTCTTTCTAGGCCTCAGATTACATTGCTACAGACCCAGGAACTGAAAAAGGTAACTATACAACAGGTATTTGTAGTTCAAATAACCCTCCTGGACTTTGCGAGCATGCACTGAATAATTAACCAAAGTGCAGCACTAAACCAAGCTGTTGTGTGGAGACAAGTTATCCAGTCCAGAACATCTTGTACCACAGTTTGTAATGCAAGAGTATGAATAACATATGGAAAATACTCAAGTGAGGAGGTAAAGCCAAAACTCCATGCATCAATCAAAACCAAAAAGTTGGTACCTAATACGCAGAAAAGTTTTTTGCCAACAACTGGTCTGGTAGACAACTGTAATTTTTCCTCTGCTCATTGCGGCCCTCTCCTGACACTCTGCTTACCTAACGTGGAAAAACTACTTCTGAAAATGTGTCCAGTTTCAAATTTAGGCTTGCCTTTCATACTCCACAACAACTGGTTTTAGAAGAAAGTCAGTGTGTAATATGTCTGCTGTGCCAGGAGAGCCTAGTTCGTGGCTTGTCATCAGTGAATGTACTGTAGATTCACCAACACGTTAAAAGCAGCCGTGACATGGCAAAACGCTCTTGAGAAAAACAGATAGAGCCAAAACATCTTCACATCTTAAAACTGTTAAATCGCAGCAAAGACTGCCTTTGATCTCCAGCCAGGTTCTGCTGTACAGGATATGTTTTCAAAGCAACCTTGGATTACACCCTGCTGTACAATCTGTAGTCCCCATTAGAAAGTTCTTTCATGCTATCATGAGTCTCGGACTAATCCTCCTTTTGAGAGGAGCCGGCACAAAGTCATCTATGTGCATCGTAACAGTCAGCAAAGCAGCTTGTCTTTCTCCCCATACCACTGCTGTGTGACATCTGACACCTCTTTTAGTACTACTTCTGCCAGTAGTTTGGTGCTAACATTAGCAGCACAAACAGGACAAAGAACTGGGAATATCTTAGAAACTGGAAGATGTTCGAAATTGCACTGCTACCATGAACGTCGACTCTGTGAGAAACATATGCCAAGCAGGCTTGAGAGAGAACAAAAATCTCAGGGAATCTTCTCACTGAAAGCCAGCTGTCCCTTAAAGAGAAATAAGAGAAGATAAAAGCAATCAGAGCTGCAGGTTGCACTGTCCCATCCCATCTTCATCATGACTGAAACGTCTGTGCTAGAAAAAGCAAGCTTTGTGAAGGCAGGTGAGAGGAGAGGCTGCAAAGCCTACAGCTGCACTCATTTTCCTCATCATCAGATTAATGAGACTGCTGCTGTTCTCTAGCCTGTTACAGATTTTCTGTCTCTGAAAAACCCCAGGAGAAAATGAATTATCCTTGCTAGAAGACTATGTGCCTTTCAAGAAGAAAAGGTCAAAGCCCTGTGTATGCATTCAACAGGGCGTCTATATTTGCTCAGGAGACAGTAGGGGTAAGTGCAGTCATTGTTATCCTACAATGTTTCTACTAAAGTGACAACTTTATAGCATTGTCCTCAATTTTGAGATGAACTCCTGAAGCTCTTACACAGCTTTTATTTTGTCCTCATGCTGGCACGCTTCTATTACTATCAAGAAGAAAATGTTCAGCCTCAAAGACAACCCTTCTAAATAAGGACAGGATAAAATTGAGTAAAGACCTTATGATTTGTCTCAAAGACAAAGAGTAGTTTCATAAAAAGCCTAGGTGGTCTAGGAGCCCGTGCGCTAATTCTAGAGCTGGCTTTTCTTTCTCTAGGTGCTTCTGTGCATGAGCACAGTATTAACCAAGTGTATTCACTCCCACTGCCTTCAATTGCAGGAGGTAAATAGAGGGACGTTTCTGCTTATGATGGCTTTGCTTCAGGGATGGTGAGGCTGACACCAAAAGGCTTTGTTCACGCTGTTCAGTGTGAGCTCAGCTCACAGCTTTCAAATTAAACTCTGATAAATTCACAGACTGCAATTAAAGACTCTCCCTCTTTGGCACCTGTCTGCAGTTAGGGTATTTTGAGACTTATAGGACTTGCTCCAAGAACCTGTTGCTGCTTCCCTTCTCAAAATCCCTCTCACCTGGCAAGAACAGTTTTTTCTTTGCCACGTTCATCTACATTCCTTTTTCCAACAAGGATGCATGAGTTTCATTCCGGAGCATCTACCGGTGAAGGGAAAAGAGCTATTACATTTCCTGGATGATGGTGTTTGCAGGTGATGGTTTCTGCAAATGTCTATTACATTGGAAATGGGTCATTCCTGCCTTTGAAAGCCTTTAATTAGAAGAATTAAGCAAGAAAATTAAATAACAGTAATACCACCCTCCGATTTCAGCACTTATTCTCTTCTCCAGGACCCCTGCAATGCTCATTTCAAGGCTTTGTATACACTGGATAAAGAAATGAGGAGAAGAGTAATTAAATGAATATGTGATTAAATTGGTTTAATAGGCAGCTAGTTAGACAAGCATCTGTGGTAAATGGGGTACACAGTTACACACAGCAATTCTCAGCACTAAACTGCATATAATGCAGAAGAGTATTATAAATGAGTTCACGAGGCTTTCAAATCTGCTCCGCTTGATTTGATCATTTTGCATTTTCTCTCAGCCAGATGCAAACGGACTGAATGTTCTGCAGCTGTCATCACCTCTCTGCACAGTTTAAGGCAGTTGCCCCCGAGTTAGAGCGCAATTTGCTTTTCATGAGGTACCTCCAAAGCTCTGCGCTCATAAAGGTTTTCATTTGGAGGGGAGCTGGCTACTGCTCCTCACTGGAAGAAGAAAACATGCTTTGCCATAATGTCTGATTTACTGTTTGTGGCTGATCTGAACGTCTGGAGCAGCAAAGCTGGCCAGCCCAGAGCAATGGTCAATGGCACACAGCTGGAGGCGTGCAGCTGGCCTTAATATAACAGGTTATTAATAGATTTCTCAGTTTTTTTAGATACAGCCGAAAATAGGGAAAAAATAAGTAACTTGGGATCCACCACAGACCTGGCTCCATGCAGGGCACTCAGTATTAAAGAGCATGTAAAGAATCAAACCCCTCTGCTGGCTCCCTAGAAACTTGCTGTTCAGATTCTTAATCTGAACAAATTAGAAGGGCTGAATTAAACATGCCTCTTCAGCTGCTATTTGACAGGAAATGGTGAGAAGTGTTTCTTGCAGCAGTGCAAAATTCAATCCAAATAAGTGGAAAAGCTTTATCTCGTTGCACTGCTATTAGTAAATGCATATTGTGTCCCAAAAACCTCTCCTAATCCTATGGGAATATGGTGTTCACTTATCTCCCTGCCTGGAGAGCTCAAAGCAATACAAATTGGTAGCTCTTAACCACTGCTCACTAGATGACAGAAATCAGAACTAATGCCAAATTTGGTGTGCCTTGTGCCCCTTGGGGCAAACCAGCACGACTCTAATGAAGTTAGTGGAGGCAAAGGGTGAGGCTATGAAGCTGTTCTGGTGGATACAACAGTCTGCGTAATAGGGAAAAGAGGAACTTGTAGCATGGGATAAAAATCTAGACTAGGAAAAACGCAGAGAAAGAACGGCCAGGAAGAATCCAGAACTGGCAAGTTTACAGTACCTGACGAAAACGTCTTTCACATCACTAATGTGTGGACAGCAGATTTTGAACACAGGCTACATGGACCAGAGAGAGAAGAGCCACCAAGCGTCTGCCCTGCAATAGTGTCCATGACAAAGACCTTGAATCCAACACTACACGCTGCTAGCGACAACCATCCTAACTGTTCTTTACTATCTTTATTTAGACATTTTTCTTCTCTTCCTTCTCTCTCCCAACACCCTAAATTTCTAGTTAGTATGGGTCTACACATCTCTACCTGGATTTTCAAGGAATCTGAAACAGTAGCTCTAAGAGATAGGCTCCTAATCATTTAATGTGCTGCATTATGAATCGTTTCACTGCCCAGCAAACAGCAAGGAAGAGCTGTATTACAAGGATCTCTCTACCGTGCCCTGACTGACACCTCCTTCCAGTTCCATAGTCATTGCAATGGTTGCAGGCAATTGCACCTTCACTCCAGGAAAAGGAAATCAAATAATCTGAAAACTCCTGGAGACAGTCCTCTACGTTTCCACTGTCAACTTGTTTGACCAGAGATGAAAGGAAAGGAGCATGTTTGAGTCTTCGCTAGTCCATGTAGGAACAACCACCCCTTGCTGGACAGCCCAAGGAAGCCTGCCCTATGCTCCCTCTGGCTTGCTCTCTCTGTGACCTGAGCACAGGACAGTGCAGATGAGAGGCAAAAAAAAAAAAACCAACAGGTTTAGGCTGCGCTCCAGGCTGCAGGATTTGCTCCTCTAAACCTACATTCTCTATTGCTTGGAGCTTTATCACCTAGTTTGGGGGAGAAAGGGAACCTTTTCCTTACTGCAAGGGAAACAGGCCTTTCAAACACTTCTGATGGGCCCTAACAGTAACTCAGCCTGGCATCACCTAGTAATACAGGTAATAAAATCACACAGATGTAAGGCTATATAGGGAAGCTACTGGCTCATGCAGCTCCAGGAGCCAAAAAGCAATTGGTAATGCAAAATTTTCTCAGTATTTCTAGATAGGCCCCAGACAGAGCTGAAAAGCACCATGATGCTGATAATGTGACACTTGTAACAGGCTAGCAACAATTTATAATCCAGTCTGCAGCATAAGCCTTCTCCCAGTGATTCCTCTAGTAGCCAAAATGGAGCAGTTAAGCAAGCCAGATTTCCACTCTCTTCCCACCCAAGCCATTTGATGACACACAACTGACTGTGATCACTGAATGATCCCAGCTGTTCAGTGATAATCTCATACCTCAGGCATTAATCAAAATTCTAAGATCAAAAAAGAGCTGTGGAGTGCTTGCAATGGGTCTTGCAATACAGGGCTGCCCTCTCTCACCTCTAGGACAGCCTCCCAGCCTCCCAGCCAGCCGGATGCCTGCTCTTTTAGGACATACACAGCTACCCCATACTAAACATACACTTGAAATAAGAGAAAGTTACTCCACCTGGCACTTGCCATGTACACAGAGGTCAGTCTCGTAGGGCCCACATGGAGTACCATCAAGGACTCTGTCTGTCACCAGCACAGGGGAATCCTTCCCCAGCGGAGAGCAGAAGAGCTCACATGGCTTATCTGGAAAAAGAAACACACAAGCAACTTCCTTGAGGAGCAGCACAAATAAGTGCCTGAGGCAATGGCAACTGAGCCATGTAATGCAGTCACTGCATAAACGGATGTACAACAGCATCTATTGACTTTCGTATCTTTGAGGGAACATGAAGTTTTCAATTTAGGCCTGTTGTCTCCCCACTTAGTTATATCTATCAAAGGGTTAAATTGATATGGTTGGTCTTTTAAGACACGTACCAAAAAAACATTCAGTCAGCATACTTCTTTGTACCTGTTTGTGAATGGAAGGCGTTTGCTACAGGGAACACTCAGCAGTCTGGCTTGAATGGTTATTAATTAGACTGTGTGGGCGTCTCGGACAAAATTCAGGCTACATCAAGTGATCTTAGAAGGACAAACAGATTCTCCAGTCCACTTCTGCTCTTGATGGACTGAATTAACTCCTTGCGTCAGTTTGCCAGTAAGAACACTTGCGTATATAAATTTGAAAGGCTTTTGCATACACATTACCTACTGTTTCCTTAAACCGATACTTGGTGGTCCTACAAACATTTCTGCCAAACTAGGCTGCTGGGATATCTGCGGAAGGCACTCCCAAATTCATCTGAAATACTTTGACAGAGAAAAACTGCATTTTTCACCCACACCAGTGGCAATCACTATGTTATATATTTAGGCCTTCACTTAGGAAGACCTGCTATTGGGTTTAGCTAGAGAAAGAGTTAAGTAAGAAAGCTTTTTCAAAGATTCGTGTCATTAACTGGCAGCATACAGCAGATGTCAGGGTTTGCAGATTGCATTCACCATGTGTCTAAGTAACAGATATTTAGGCAGCGTAACGTTTTTCCTTTGGAGCTGACTCTCTGCTACTCGCAGACTTCGTCCAAGGAAGAACCTATAGACATTCAAATGGAAACATGTTTTGCTCTGCATAGGCAGGTACTCATCAGACAGAAGAGGGAATGTTTGCCAGTACATTACACTAAGCGCCACAGGCCTTTTCTAAGTTCCCAGTGAAATCAAAAACCTGCAAAAGTAGAGCTTGAGCAGAGTGCAGAAGATGATTAGCTCAAGGCTGGTATGGGTCTGTATCTATTTCTCCCTGAGTGTGGTGCTTGGATGTGCTGCAGCAAGGAACTGGAGAACAGTGCATGGGTGCTCCAATGTGCTTAAAAAAAAAAAACCAACTTTGCACTGAGGTGCAAAATCGAGCTGCCCTCTGCCCATTTTGGGAGAGGAACTACAGGCACATCCTGTGGAGGTTCAAACTCCCTGCCTTTTGTTTGATGCAAAGCAAACTCTCAGAGACGAGATTTTGATTTCATTTGGCAGGAGAAGCTAGGAAAGCTGTTGAAAGAGGAGCTTGTGCAGAAGACCGCTAATCTGACCACCTCTGAACAGCCTCTCTTTCTGCAGCTGCGAGGAATGCCTGGCTGCCTGCTCTGCAACCAGGCACAAAAAGTTTCTGATTTACAGCCTTAGGTATACACTCCACTGAGCATCAAAAGTCTACTATGGACAGGAGGAGTTGGAGCTGGTTAGTCTGACCACGGGCCATGCTGCGGCCTGGGAAACTGGGGCAACACGGCGCAGGTGAGTGAGGCTTTGCTAGAAATCAGGAACAACGCTGGCTATTATCTTTTAGTAACAGCTTGGTCAGGCCTCACGTGGCCACAAAATGGCATATCACTCCACCAAAAAAAGAAAATCAGGAGAATTTTCTGTAACTGAAACTACACTAGGAAGTCAGGGAAAAGGCAGTTTTCTTGGAATGACTGAGTTATCTGGATCACAAACTGGGACACAATTTAAATAGCTGGCCTCCACTGGCCTCTGTGGACGCCAGATTGCTACGGCACCCGCAACCGTAAGACGAGAGAAAAAAAATATCAGCTCAGGGCTTGGCTTCAAAGGGTTAAACTTCCAAAATGGTACGCTGCAAATACTGCCTAACAGAAGTCTTCGTCCTCTTGGGAGAGCCCTAGTGCTTACTCCACCACTGGGAACAGGTTTTCTGCAAGGAAAAGGCAGATTTTTTTTTTTTAAGTATACTTTCCCTGCAGTGTTCTGAGAACTCAGGATTTACAGATTATGTCTGTGGCCCTTTTTATGAATGAGGCAGTTATGATGGATCTCAGTGAAGTCAGCAGCAAAGCTCAAGAGCTACATATCTCCAAACGAGCCATAATAACAAAATCTTTTTATTCAGGCATCGCTGAGAAATGCTGAGCTGCAGTTTCAGAGGATTTGATTATTCGTGAAAGCAAGTTGTTGTTTTGATTTCTTGAGAAGGGCTTTGGAAGTGTCCAGCCAGCTTCTGGATGAAGGCTGCTTCTATGATAGATAATACATCTATTCAAGAAAACCCTAAACTCTGCAAATAGCTCACAGAACCTCCTGGCACCCAGGGAACATCCACCAAGCGGGAGACAGGCTTTGCTGCAAGATAGACCCCAGGGATTCATTAAGGAACATTTTCCTTTGAAGTCAGATTCTACTCTCAGCTTAATGCTCTGAGGTGAACCATGTCTGGCACCCAAAGGAAGCAAAAATGCCAAGTGGGATGAACTGGGATGTGTCCAGCGTAGTCTGGGATGGCATTTGCTGTTGTTCTTCATTCCTCGTCCTGAGATGCTCTGCTAAGTCATCAAAGTGAACAGATGTAGATGTAGGATTTACGCAGTGGTGTATGGATATTTCCTGTTTATTCTCTACTTATTTCCTAATAATTTCTAAGATTATCCCTGCCCTGACAATCACAGAGCTTCTCTAGTGCTTATAAAGGTCTAACCGTTATGACCCCAAGACGTCTGAGCTGAGTGGTAATAGATATTTCACTGTGTACGTACAGCTCAATCTGGTTTTCCCCATGTGCTTTATTTTCAACATATCAACATTTTCACCTTTTTCATTATTCACTACGGTGAAACCCTTTTGCATATTTTTGTCACCAGTTCTAGTTTTGATGAAGCTAACAATGTTGAATATTGTCTAACGTCATCACCTCACTATTCACCTCTTTTTTAGGCCATTTATGAATATGCCAGACAGCAGAGGTCCTGCATGGACCCACAGGGATTCCCTGACGATCTCTTCCCATTTTGAAAAATGATAATTTATTTCTATCCTTTGCTCCCTATCCTTTAGGCAGATGTTAATCTACCGTATGATCTTCCTTTTTATTCTACAGCAGCTTAGTTTCTTTACAAGCTTTTGATTATATTAACTGAATCACTTTCATTCATATGTGTGCTGATGTTCTTTACTAGATTTATGAGGCATGACTGCATTATATAAAAATGGTTACCCGGCAATATTTCATATACTGTTTGGGCCAAGCCAGTTCAACATTCCTACTATTATGTAGCAGCATCTTGTGGACCACCATGTGAGAGCCGCCCTCTTTGCTTTGATAAAGCACCTGGACATGAGTAGGAGGCTGATGACAGGGCCAAATGCCACGTGTGCCAGGTGTGGTCTACTGGTCACCAGCTGGACCACTCTCAGCTGGGCCATTATCTCAGGAAGCACTGCAATCCTGAACAAGCTCTCCAAAAACGATGCACAAACTAGAACTCAGAGATTCTGGGGGCAGAAAAGAATTTGGTTGTTGGAACATATGACCTCTATAGAGCTGCAACTGCATGGATGGGGTGTGAATGCACCAGCAGTGTGGAACTGTGTGTGTAAGGGAGTTTGGTAACGAAATGCATGGATTAGGGAAAGGCAGACATGAAGGAGCCATTCTGCAGTTTGAAAGAATCAGCTGTATAAATAAGAGAGACAGATGAGCAGTGTGCGGTGTCATCTTGTAGGGCACACTAAAATTTTTGGAGCAAGCTCAGAAAGATGAGCAGAATGCATAGCAGATGGGACCACCATCCGCTAGCAACCTAGCATTCCCAAACAACCCAGTGTTTCAAGACGACACAGATGCTCTAAGGTGTTTAAGTGCCTAAATACCTTTTTTGGATGTGGACCAAGATAAAAAGTGTGGGAGGAAGGATGTGTTTCTAGCACTCTTTCAAGCAGTGGAAGACTCGTTTCTGGCAATCTGAGTGCAACCCTAGCTAGTAAAACCCATCTCAGAATTACACACACAGACATAGAAAACCATATGGCACCCAGAGCACAAAGCGGCCAAGGACAGGAATATTTTGTACTTGCAGTTGAAGGAAAGGAATAGATGGATACTGAGGGACTGATTTGAGTCTCTCTAGTGGACTCTCACGGTTATCCTAAAGGACTTTCGGTGGAAGTACAATGAGAAGTACAAAAACAAACACTTAAAGACGGAAATATGAGAACCAAATTAGGGCAGCCAGAGGAGCGCAGCAGAAGAAACACTTTTGCTCAAAGAGAGGGACATGCCTAAAAGGCAGCTCTATGTCCCAGACAAAGTGTTTCCTCTAGGGCATGACTCTAACTCTGCAAGTGCTGAAGACCTGGTTTAAGTTTGGTTTCTATTGTCTAAGCAGGAAGCTAAGATAGCAGTAACAGAAGTGCAGGGCCCTGGTAACTTGTCCTTGCTGCTAACCTGCAGCCTTCTGGTTCTGCTTCTTCCAGGATGAGTTAGGGAAGTACCTCTGCACTGTACACTCACCTGGTAAAACTATTTCGGAAGGAGGGCAGAGGCAAACAATGAGGTAAAACAGCCTATTTACTGGGGCTTCTCAATAAATCACACTCTGAGGGTTTGCTGCAGGAACTGGAATGCTGTCTGTATGCTTGCCCTGGTGTAAAACCTAACCTGTCAGTGCTAACATGGGAAAGGCTTATATCCACTGCCTGGTGTTCTGGTGTCAGTTCCAACACCACCCTCCTCTGTTCAAGCATGTCTTTAAGACAAAGAAACAAAACCAGCTTCGTCCATTTTTCAGCAGAGTGCAGTGAAAGATGTTTATCCCTATAGAAAGGATATTATCACGATCCCTTTTCATGTCCCCTCTTCATCTGGTTGAATAGTAGGTGAACAGCAAGATTCAGCAAAGGAAGCAAAGGAAGCAAAGGAATGTAAGTAGAACAGGCAATCATGCTGAAATGCCCACAAAAGACTCACATAAAAAATGTCCCCAGGGAATCCTTCTTCTTGTTTTCAGTTCCAAATTGAATTGAACTTTCTCATATTAAAACTCCAAAGCTGCCTGTTTGGATTGGGAACCTAGTTCAGCCCCTCACTTCTCCAGCACTACACAAAGAAATCTAAAATGTCTTCTGTTAAAAAAGCTGAAAGAACAGCAGGGCAGCAACAAGAGCAAGTAATTCATCTTTCAGACCTAGCTACGGGGAACATACTGTAACCTTCACACTGACAAATGGGGGTCTCACAGATTAAATCAAGATAGGTTGAGAAGCTGCAGTGAAAGAGCAGCAAGGAATTAGAGAAGAAGCTGAAAAAACTTACCATCAATGACGACAGCCGTCAGGAGGCTTTTTTTCTTGTTGGTATATCTGTCATGGGCCTGGCACTGTTGGTCCCTGAAGCTTGGCACACCTTTAGGGCAGGGCAAGTTCTCGCACACGGTGTGCTCCACACTGGCTCCCCGGCAGTTCTTCCCACCTGGCCCCGGGCTATCACAGAAAGACAAACCGGGGTCACCAGGAATAGCACAGCTACTCACAGGCACATCTTTGCTTAGGTGTTCCTGTCCAGTGCAACTCATGAAATTTCAGGCAGGATCGTTCCCTTCAGAAGTTCCTTTCTGGAGGCCAAATTCTGCTCTCAGGGCTCTGACAGAAAATAATTCAAGCTCCAGGCTACACCTATAATGGGCTCTCTGGAGCATGTTCTTTGGTAGCGTCCAAAGATCGATAAATAGGCACACTGCAGACAGCAGGCAATCCAACATGCTATTCACCTGTGGGCATTAACCAACCTTCTCAGAAGCCTAAGTTAGGCTTTGGAAGGTGTATTGAGCATGACATGTAAAGGCTAAGTACTTATTATATTTGCCATGGTCAGGCAGTTTGCAAGTCAATTTGCAGTTGCACCACAAACGCCAAAGTTAAGTATTTATATTTTTAATGAGGAACCTAGGAGCACTGTAGTTATGTTACTGTGCACAAGATCACACCACGCACCCAAAGCAGAGGCAGGCAATCTAGAATGCATCACCATTCCCTTCCGACCGTTTGCTTTGCTCCCTGCCTCAAACGCCCTTAAAAACAGAGACACAGCAAATGCCTCTTCAGCATACAACCCTCTACAGTTCTGTTTTCAATATTTTGAAACTAAAACAACACAAAAGTACTTATAACCTGTACCCTGAGTAGCATGTCCAAAAACCAAATCTATGCAGCAGATAACCTCCATCCATGAAAACCATGCCATTTTATACATTTGTTTTTGAAACATGCAGGAAGGGCTACTAATTCAACATCAGGATTAAGCCTCTGCATAATCTGTTTATTCTTGTTTATTCTTCCCCAGAGAAGAAGACAAACTAAAACACTCTATAATAGCCTGTATTTTGCTTCTTTGAAAAAAAAAAAGCACTAAATAAGCCACAAACAAAAACCCAAGCAAGTAAAAGACTCAGCCCTGCTAACAGATTACAATTTCTTTATATACTTGCTGACACTTTCCTGAATGTGTCATATACTCATCTCTCCAGCTGTAATCAGCAGAGACAGATAAAATCATGCTCTTACTTTTTTTTTAACAGATTGCTGTAAGAAAGCAACTCCAGCCAAATTCCAGTTTTTAGCAGCAAGGAAGTTTATTCCAGAGGCTTCTTCTCCCCTCTTTCTCCGAAGAGCAGTAATCATCAGGTTACATCACTCAGCTAATTAGAAAGCACGAGCCTGATTGCATATCTTTACTTGTGTCAGTGGTCTCAGTAACAGGTGTCTGTTCATTTATATGGTGGCTGTAGGACCAGACCTTTGCTCTGCTAGCTGTGCTGGACTCAGTGAGTTCTGCATTCAGTGCAACAGAATCATTTGACTCTGCAGACGAGAGTTTTATGCCAAATTTCAGCCTAGATCAAATTTTTACAGTAGCTGCATAAATCCTAGAAAAAAAGAATTCTTTTTAAAATGGAAATGCTAATCTCCAATGATACTGTAACATCACAGAGGGTCACCACGGGAACAGCCTGAACAAACACCTGCTTGCACTGGTAACACCTCTCTGCCACCAACACGTGAGTAGCAGCGGATGCGCTGAAACTGATGCAGAAGTCTTCTAGGAGGATCATGTGTGCTGCTTTAGACTGGATGACACAGATGCTCAGTCCGGGTGACTAGGAACACAATGCAGACTTTTTCCCACGTGAACCTTGTACTCTACATAAACACATCAAATACATGAACTTTGTTTCAGCACAATTTCTTTGGCTACCACAAAGTAAGAGAGACACAGAACATAAGTGACTCTCTATGCTTGTGTGTGTGTGCGTGCGTGTGTGCATGTGCACACGCAAGAGAAAACAGAAGATGAAGGCAGGGAGAATACTCAACTAGTCACCGAGGGCTCTTTGGACAGCTGGGTATCACCATGGAACATGAGATACAGCAGGACTACTATTTACTGTGTTTTCATCAGCAGTTGCTTTGGCTTTAATCTTAAGATGAAGAGGTCATTAACGTGCGAGGAACTCTCTATGAGTTTGCCAATACTGACTGGAAGCTACTAGCTCTCGTTATTGGTAATAATGGTCATTGGTAACAATAAAGTCACAGTCGAATCCTTTGTTAGGAGACAGAGACACAACTCCCAGTCAGTGGGAGCTGCAGGAACTTGGTGCCTTTTGGCCTACTATTCAGCTGCCTGACCTGTCTTCCCTTTCTAATTAAGGAATAAAATGAACCACCTCCTTCTGATGTAGTGTCTCCCAAAACTGAAGAGCTGGATGCACTGAGCTCATCAGCCACAGAGCATCTCACAGATCTGGGGGATGTTCCTAATCCCAGTAATCCAAGAAAAATAATATGCCCAACAAGACCGTCCCATTTCAGTACCCATCCATCCAACAGCATCATGCTGTATTTGGTAGTACATTGCTCCTTTCAACTGGACTGAGTCTACTCAAATACTAGTAGACTATACAGAGCCTATTCAAGGGGTTCAGGAACAAGCAGATCAACAGGCATGGACAGACAGTCAGAGAATGGGCAGGGCACAGTTCTGCCATGCTGATCGTGTTCTGCTCTGTTCCTGTTTGGGTAGGGAATGTAGAATTACTGACATTCATTTTTTCACTTAACTCACCTCTGACTATAATATTTCAGTATTACAGGCTTCTCAGCATGTTTGTATGTGATACTGAGGGTTTTCACCATGCAAGATGAAGAAAAACAACAACAGTCACACTCTCTGGTCTTCTGCAGATGGTTACCTGGCACTCATTTGCATGCCTTCCTTTCCCTGCTTCTCACCATTTGCGTGACTTCATCGCTGTGACCCTTCCACCTTTCCACACGCTGAGACCAAGACTTTGAGCAACATCTCTACCAGATTCTGCCAAAGATCTCACAGCCAAGGGAAAGGCAGGGCCAACAAGGCTTTAACCACCGTGCTCTTGGAGCTGATGAGATCCCTGAAATCCCAGCTCCCAAGCCCTGCATGTTATGGGCTCTAGCACTGCCTGGGATTTCGAACAAACAGTGTAATTCAAGCCCATCCTGACACACCCCCGAAACAGTGACTGTGAGAGAGTTCCTTGTAGACAACTTCACAGTCATCTTCCACCACGTTTGTGCCAAGAGAATCCACCCACTAATGGAACAGAAGTTACTAAAGCCCCTTTAAACCACCCCAACCCTTTTACATGACATGAAGGGACTGGAGAAGGGGTGGGGATCTCATTCTGGTGTTCTGCTTAAGCCAGTGGTTTTCTCTTCAATACTTCTGTGCAACGATAGTCCAAAGCCTAGATGAGAACATAAGGCAACACAACTCAAAAATTTGCACGTGCTAACTGGCTAACACGCTGCCTTACAACCATTTAGAGGCAATGCATGCAAACACTCACAGAAATTACAGAGAGGAAAAACCAAATCAAACAGTGAAGCAACTGGTTTAAAAATACTGATAGTCCCACAGGCTCAAAAGACAGATGGCAGGAGTACAGATTCCAGTAAAGAAAAAAATCCTAAGACCAAGTATATATAAAATAAAAGATAAATCCCTTAGCCAATATTTTTGGACAGTGAATAAACCAGCTGCAGAAGAAATGGGCTGAAGCCAGGAATATGAAGCAAAAGAAGATCACGTGTGTTTCCCCAGCCAAGAATGCATATGAGCAAGAGAATTTTAAAATCAGTGTGCAATCTTGGAGGCAGCATTTCCTGTAATTTAAGGAAAGACAATGAATGGATTTAGGTTCGGTCAGCACTGTGGTTAAAAGAGACTTTTTGTAGCTGACAGCAAAGAAACCAGCTCAGTCTCTTGTTCTGTAAAAAAGAAGCTGGTAAAAATAAAGCCTGGACATTGTAGACATGCAGTTGCAACTCAGCCTTACTTAAGGAGAGCAATAAACAAAAATTTCCCTTCTGCATGAATACACACAGCCAGCCAGTGTGTGCCCATCCACCACCTAGGCACTTCTTTAGAAGGACTATGTTGCTGGCCAGAATCTCAGCTTCTATTGAACAAAGATTCCTGTGCTTTGTCTGTGAAGAAAACTTTAAATAAGAAGAAAGTGAGAGAGATGCAGAACTTGGACTGCTGCTGTCAAGATTATGAGCATCCTCATTCCTCTCAGAAGTTACAACACACACAAATAGGGGTTGTCATCTAAATGGCTACAATGGTAACCTGTTCAGTCCTCCTGTAAGAAAAAAGGAGTTCTGAGTGTGCCTCAGATGATCTGAGGGACGAAGGACGGCATGTGGGAGACAACATCGCCTGCGTTTTCTTCCTGAATCAGGAAAATGCCAAGCGTAAGCAGAGAGCATGGGCCTATTTACAGTCACTGTGCAGGAGTGGAAAGACACACACTGCAGCATAAGGATCTATGCACCCTTCCATGTGTGGGAATACTTTCCTTTTCTTAGGCAGCACAACCCCATGTACAGAGTATTGGAAGGTGCTTTACCAACACAGCTACATATTGTTATGATTGCTGTCAGCCAATATATTGCTTCCCAAGCCCACAGTCTGCACTGCCCGCAAAACTGATGTGTAAGATGTATTGGCTCAATTTGGTCTGTACGTCCAGCTCAGCCCCTTCTCATTTACTGAACTGCTGGAGAGGAAACACAGCATCACTTTTCTGCCAGGCTACATGTCTTTAATTCCATTTAATCTATGTCTGAATCATTGCAATGGGCCCTTCCGATGGTAGCCCATCAAGTCACTTCCACAGCCACCTGCTTTGCTCCCTAAGTCACTCCAGGATTGTGTTCTGGTCCTTGCTGCTGGTGCACACCACATGTACACTGCACTGCTCTGCTGCCCATTTCTTCCCTGTACTCTTGCAGCAAGATCTGTTTAAGCGCTACACGCAAAAAGAAATCAGCAGGATGTGAAGACTTACGGGGGATTGTCGCATTTCCGCTGTCTGAACCGCACTCCTGTGCCACAGGTCCGGCTGCACATGCTCCACTGACTCCACACGCTCCAGTCTCCGTCAACATGCTCGGGGATGGGAGTTTTACTGACACACTCCCCAGCTCGGCACCACTGAAACGCAATTGTGTTAGCACAGGCTGGAAGGAAGCCCTGATCTTGCACACAATCCTGCCCAGGCGGAGTGAGGAGGATGCCTCAGAGATTACAACAAGCATACGTACAAGTTTCTGGAGACTCAAGGTTTCTGTGAGATGGAGGTGGGAGGAGGAGAAAGGGAGGAGGTGGAATGTAGAAATTGGAGTGTCACTCTCAACCAACTCCTGAAGGGAGTTCAGTCATTAAATAAAGAAGGGCAGAGCATTGAGTCCCTTGCTTATCTAAGTACTAAGACTTAAAGCTACACTCTTCACAGAAACTGACTGAGTCCAAGAAATTATACTCCAAAGCAGTATCTTTGTCAGCAGTATTCCCAGTGTGCATAAAATCATTGAGGTATTTTGGCCCTAACTTGGCTAAAGCCCCAAGCAACCTTTGATTCCAATAGGTTGCATTGGCTCCTGACCAAGCAGCAAACTTGGCCCACTCTTTTGCTCTATCCAGGATACAATACAGTACGCACTGCAAAGCAGCCTTACAAAAGAATCACTGGGACTCCTGTAGTTAGAAAAAACATATTTAAACCCCTTTTTTCTCAATTCCCTTGCCATGCTTTCCAGGACCCAGCATCTTTTTGGGGGGAGGGGGTTATCTTCCATTTGCAGGCAAAGAAAACATCTCTAATCCCTGGCTTCAGCAACAAACTTTCTAATTTTATCCCTTCTTACCTCCGCAACCATATAACATACAATACCTATGCTAGTGAGCAGGGGGACTGGCCTGCAACAAATTGATCCAGTTCCTCTGTAGCTTAATAAGTTATGAATCAACTACACTGGGGGAATGAACCACATGTGATTTTTAGCACAGCCCACTTCAGGGGTTAAACGTGCTCACTTCTGTTCACGCAGGTTTGCAGGGAGGCAGCAGCTGAGCCCCAGTGACTCTCACCCCTACAACACCACCATAGAATTCACTTAAAGAAAGGGTGATTTCAGCGGAGGAAGATCAACTAATATCAGTGTTGATTTTGTATTTCTAGTAACAATTTTCTCCACTGATCAGGACTCTGAAAAGTCCATATGTACCTTAGTCATCTCATACATACAGCTCTCCGTACGCGTACACAGGGTACAGCAAATAATACTTAAAAAACAACTGAAACTCAATGAATTTGAGCTCAACACATTTTAAGCTACTTTTAGTAACTCTGTAGTGCTTTTAAGTAGTCTCTTGATCTTCCCCATCCTCCTCCACTCCCAAAACGTCAGTCTAAATCCTCTCTATATTCCCCATCTCAAATATAGCCAGGAACATCTCTGCCATAGCTTGCACTTAAGAATACCTCAGTCTTGAAACACCACCTGCAGCAATGAACAGACGCGACTGAGGAGTGAGCTGCTACCTATCGTGACTTAGAAGGTGCTCAGTCTGTGCACTTTGCCTAGTGAGGAGCGAGCTTTTCTTGCAGTGTTTGTATAGCGTCTTGACTGTAAGAACCTGACTGCTGGAGTCTCCAGAGGCTACTGGAATACACGTAACAGAAAAGCAGAAAGCTCAAACGGAATCCAGCTGTTAATTGAGCAGTTTCTATAACGGAATCAGTATAATATATGGGTTTATGGTAAATACTGAACATAATGAACATCTTGGAAACATTATTCCACAGACAACTCTGGAAAAAACAAACTCGCTGCTGCTGAGCATTTTGATTACCTTGTCTGCGCCACATTCAGTGCCATCCAGAGGGGGGTCCAACTTTGTTTTACAGGATGTATCTCCTTCCACCAGGCACCAGAGCCCAGCACACATCAAATGCTGCAATCACAAAGCAACGAGGTGCAGTTATTACTTCTGGAGACATCAGCCATCATTATGGGATACACTGCAAAGCTCAGGCAGTCTCGCTCATGTGAATCCAGAGGCATCTGGTTGGTTTGGGAGCAATTATTTTTAAGGAGAGATTGGCAGTAAGCGGTGGGGCTGGGAACATAAAAAGAGACTGATGGACATCATTGTCAGGACCAACCCCCTCCACCTCCCCAACAAAGACAGTGCTTTATTTAAATAGATTTCTTTTCACAGGAATAAATCTGGTCCATTAAAAGACATGGGAGGACAAGATGGGTACTTTGGAATCATGCCATGGTGTCTGAGCTGCTTAATTACTTGTGTTTTTCTAAAGATACTCAAGTAACTAAGCACTGTAAAACCCAGTCACCCCTGCTGTACCTCTTTGTAGCTCTCATCAGCTGACAATGACCTTTGGAAGCAGAAGGTCTTAAGGAAAACCCAAAAAGAGAAAAGGATTTCATGGCTGTGCCACACGGCAGAGGAGGAGCTCGGTGATAAGCTGTAAAAGTGTAGACAGGCAGGGGCAAAGTTAGAAAGCTGTGGTGGTGAGAGGCAGCTGCTAGAATCCAACGTGCTAGAGAAATGGAAAAGTGAAATGTGAGGGCAAGAGCAGCAGGAGGTACTGTGCATCTCGCTCCCAGGCTTGAAACACGTTCTGGGTATCATTACTCAGCCCGGCTGCTCTGCTCAGCCGATGTACATTGCAGGGATATTAATGCTGACCACACTTGCGTGATCTGTCAGATCAATAATGTTTTCAGAATTTGAGAAAAAGAACCAGGAAAAGGGGCCTTTACATCGTTAACATTTTCCACAGCATCCACTGTGCTTTGCATTCCATGGAAGTGGATGATTTCAATAGAATGCTATAGCTTTGAGTACCAAAAAAAGAAAAAGAAGAGTTACATTTCTTTCCACTATTGTTCACGTTTCACTGTAATGGTAAAAAGATGAGAAGCTTGACTCTAGTGCCAGCTGGTCTTGTCAAGATTTATTGCACCTCATTAAATAGTTGAGTCAACATGCTTCAACCTTACGGTTCTTTCACAAAGTAATGTAAGAGTGTGGGTGCATATGTGTTTCGTGCACATGCATGTTGGTATGTCTTACATAAAATAGAGTTGTGCTGCAGAGGGTGCAGACAAGATAAATCCCAATACCAAGAGTGATGATGTAGAACATGCTGAAATAAAATGGTTATCACAGCAGTATTTGCATCCTGTTTTATTTCCACATTTTCTTCTGGAAAGAGGATTTTGCACTATTTAAACTAAAAGAACATTTACAAAAACCAGAAGCAGACGGCACAATTCAGCAACATCTGTATCGACCACAACATAAAAAGCTATCGCCAAACAAACGAACAACAGCAACTACACCAGGGAAGCCTAAATGCAATGAATTTTCAAGACTTCTTCCTTAACTAAGAGCACATATGGGAAAATATCAGATTTTGTCATTTTGACTGAATGACTGTGACTAATTAGTGGTCTACCCACAGCTCTGAAAGCACTTAGGCACCAATTAGCCACGAGGACATTGCACACTGTTTTACAGATAGGTATACTGAGGCAGAAGAACTGACGAGCCAGAGAATTGACTGCAAAATCGTTTGTTCCACACCACAACTCCCACGTTCTCAAAGCCCCTCCTTCCCTGCTGAGCACTCAAATCAAAAAGTACAGCCATTAACTTGACCTCAAATGTCACAGAAAGAACGCTAGTCTAGGCAATAAACCCTTTAAACTGAGAAAGCTATTTTCCCCAAAATGCCAAACAGCACTGAGAGGATGCTTGTTTTCCGGGATAGAAAGCTAAAGCACCCTTACATCTGTTTAACTCACTGCGATCGAAAAGTGACAGGCTATTCTTTATATTAAGAGTCCACATATGAACCATTAAAAAGAACTTAAATACAGTTAAGAGGCGCTAAAAGCATGTTAGAGACCTAAGTGTCAGGTATCACAGGAGGCTCTAGCCACAGAGCAGAAGGTGCTACATGTAGCTATGGGATGAGATTAACAGCAGTCTATCAACATGTTAGACTTGCTAAATGCTAACAGCTTCTTTGCCATTTGTAACAATATATTAATGACTTATAAACAGAATGCTGCTACTGTGAAGCCAAGGTCAGGAATTAACTGGCAACCTGGACTCTCTTCTCACTTGATGCTTGCGGGCAGGGATCTTGCCAAAGCATTATCAGCAATGCCTACTTTCAAACTGTGGTCGCGGAATATGATACGCAAAATGAAGCTTCTGAGATGAAGGGCACAGACAGCATGTATTTCAGCTTTACTAGGCTTCAGCCCCTCTCTGTACACATACTCACAAAGCTTCCAAACAGAACGTTATGAGAAGCCCTCCAGCCTCATGTCTTGAGTGACCCAGACAGAAATTTTGCCCTGCCTTTCCAGAAGGAAACCCTTTGCTTCTGCTTTCTGTCAGAAAAACATCCTGGCTAAAGATGGAATGGAATTCACTACAGCCCCAGAGAAGTTGTTCTAGACACATACGAGCACCATTGTTAAGTACCTGTGCGTTATATACAGCCAAAATTTGTTAAGCTGCAGCTTAGAGCCCCTGGATCTTAAGCTGTAAGTAAATTACTCAAGGTTCAACCCTCCCCTTTGATGTAAAACTGAGAGCAGGAAAGGGATTGGTGGAAACAGAAGGTCATAAAAATCAAGTGGCTTTTTCTACAATTTTGGTTGCCAACCAGAATTCCTCTATAGTCCACAAGAATGTGGAAGGTGATAAACTCAGCTAGCATGCCCAGGTACAAGCCACGGCCTGGGGGAAGGAATGGGCACAGCTAACCCCAGCCAGGTGTGTCTGTACCAGCACCACTACAGAGCTGAGCCCAACTACAGATACAGCTGGTACAAATATTCACAAACATGAGCATATTTGCATATTTGTGTGTG